TCTGGAGGAACTGGGGATTGAACTCAGACCCTTGCGCTTGCCAGGGAAGTGCTTATTCTACTGAGCCATCTCCCCAGCCCTTGGATATCTTTTAAACCAGCATCTGGCTTTTTTTTTTTTTTTTTTGCAGAACCGGGTGTTGAACTCAGGCCCTTGCGCTTGCCAGGGAAGTGCTTATTCCACTGAGCCTTCTCCACAGATTTGGAACAGTGGGGTTTCCTTCCTTCCTTCCTTCCTTCCTTCCTTCCTTCCTTCCTTCCTTTCTTCCTTTCTTCCTTTCTTCCTTTCTTCCTTCTGTCCGTCTGTCCATTGGTCCATCCTTCCTTTCTCACTGTCTTGCTGGAATTGCACACTTAGCTTTTTTATGCTTTTGTTTCCGTGTTCCACTCTATCCTGGATATCTTTCCATGTGGAGTCATGTAGAACTACCTCATTCTTTAGAACAACTGCAGAATCCTGCCTGCACTGTGTGGCTGGGCCATCATTTACCTAACCGTCCTCCTGCTGATGGATGTGTAGACTGTTGCAGCGCTGCTTTGTAATTATATGCTGTGCTGCTGTGAACACCCTTGTACCCATGCACTAAGGCCAGGATTTTTGTAGGAGAAATTCCTGGAAGTGGGATAATTGGATCAAAAGACATGCACACTCTAAATTAGGAGAGACTGCCAAGCTGACCTCAGGCAAGGTTGCACAAGCCTGCACCCCCATTGGCAGTGTGCAGGTGTCTGTGTCTGACTTCCTTGCCAAGAGTGGACACTATAATAAGCTTTTCAGTTTTTCTAGTCACTTCGGCAAATGATATCTTGGTTTAATTTGCATTTCTTTAATGCAAAGATTGGGGGAGGGTATCTAGTTATATGTTTTACTGGCCACTTTTATTTCTTCTGTTAATTGTTCATAATCATTGTCCATTATTCTACTGAGTTTGTTAGTCTTTTTCTCATTGATTTTTTTACAGTCTCTGTTAATGGATATTAACCCTTCACTGTTGAATGTGTTTGAAAATATTTTCTCCTTGTCATTTATGTTGTTTTTAACCACATAAAGTTTTAAAAATGTTCCTGTGTTCAATATGTCAGTCTTTTCCTTTATGGCTTCTTGGATTTGTGTTAAGTGTAGAAAGGCCCTCTGCCCCTCAAGATTACAAAATGATTCTCTTCTGTCTTTTCAGACACTTATAATTTTTTTCATCAGTGTTCTTGATCCATCAAGAATGTAGTTTTTCATGCACAGTATGAAGTTTACATTTTTATAAACTTTTCTGAGACATCTGTTGTTCCAGTGTTCTGTTGATTTGAAGGATCTCTTAATTCGCATAGTGGAACTCCAAATTCAGTGGGAGGGCCAGCCCTGAGGGAAATAGCTGGGAGTGGCTGAGGACTTCCTACCCACAGGGATATTTGTGTGTGTTATCTCCTGTACTTGCTCCTCTCAAAACTTCTGTGAGGTGCAGGAAGTGTCATTATGCCCATGTGTAGACAAGGAAACAGACACAGGGAGATTAGCCAGTCCTGGGTGACACAGCCCAGAAGGGGAGCTGGGATTTGAACTGAGATCTGCAGGCAGGGCACATGTTTGTCTTTCCCATAACATAAATTAATATTAATGTAGTCAATTTGGCACACACCTGTGATTCCAGGTACAAGGGGTTGAGGCAGGAAGATTGCAAGGACCAGACCTTTCTCAAAAATACAAAACAAAACAAAAAAGCTGGGTATCGAGCTCAGCACTACTCCCTAGGTTCATCCTCAGTGCTTAAAAATGCAGATGTATATTATATGCGTATGTATATTATCTATTAAAATTATATAATGCAGTGTATGAAAATATATAAACATGAAACGTGCCCTACGAAACCCTAATTACAAGTGTCTCTCCAGGGCAAGAGTGAGAGCTCGAGAGTTAGCTCTTCATGCTCAGGGCCACCTCTGGCAGGGCTTGCTCAGAGCATGCGTGGAAACTAGACTGCCGACCCCCTGCGAAAGTGCACACGCTATCTGTGAAGTGGGCAGGTCAGGAATAGGACCCCCTTGCTCTGAGGACGAGACTCACAGAAAGTGACTTGCTCAAGACTACAGGACTCCTTAGTGACAGCTGCTACATCTGTCTGGCTCTTCATCTAACGTGTCCCCTGCCACCTAGTATCTCTGGGAGGACCCTTCATAAGTAGGGAGCCCCCCACCTAGGGTGAGGCTGGTCGTAGGGGTGGGGGAGCTGAGGTGTCCCGCTTCCCTCAGGGATGGCTGCATCAGCCGGGAGGAGATGATCTCCTACTTCCTGCGCTCCAGCTCGGTGCTGGGAGGCCGCATGGGCTTCGTACACAACTTCCAGGAGAGCAGCTCCTTGCGCCCGGTTGCCTGTCGCCACTGCAAAGCCCTGGTGAGCACCCTGTTTACCAACCGGGAGCCCGAGCCCCACCCCCTGCTGGCCCCGCCCCTCCTGGAGCCCGGCCTGCCAGGCAAACCTCTTTATTCTACCTGACTCTTCCCTTGCTGTTTCTCCTCTGGCCCTGAGGAGGGCGCGAAAGTCTCAGTCTCTGCCCTCAAAGGGCAAGGTAGTCAACACCCTCCAATCCCTACTCCCCTAGCACGGCCCTCTCCTCTATTGCAGATCCTTGGCATCTACAAACAGGGCCTCAAATGCCGAGGTAAGATGTCAAATAAAGGTGGCTGGGCTGAGGTTTTGGGGTGAATTACTGTCTTGAGTGGGGATTTTTACTTTGGTGGGGGTACCGGTACTTGTCTAGAAGTACAGTACTTCAGAACCAGACAGGTATCTTGATTGATGTGAAGGGAGCAGCACCCTTTAAGAGATGTGTATTCTGGTGAGGCCTGCAACAGAAAAGAGGGTGTAGACTTTCAGTAAGGATGAAGAGAGCACTTTGGAACTAGACTCTTATTTTGGTGGGGCGGCTGCTCATGAGCAAAGGGACATGTGGAGAAGTGCAGGTCTGCAGGACAGGATGGAGAGTTTCTTTTTTTTTTTTTAAATTTTATTTATTTATTTATGTGTGTGTGTGTGTGTGTGTGTGTGTGTGTGTGTGTGGTCAGCTCAGCCCACCAGGGGGCGGGGCTGGCTGGCATGTGGTGCTGGGGGATTGAACTGTGGTCCCTGTGCTTTGCTGAGCTTGTTCTAAGTAGGTGCTTTAGACCACTGAGCCATCTCACCAGCCCAGGATGGAGAGTTTCTGACTGAAAGCCCGGGTTGGCCTCCCTGTCCTCTTTCCCAGCCTGTGGTGTGAACTGCCATAAACAGTGCAAAGACCGCCTGTCTGTGGAGTGCCGGCGCCGGGCCCAGAGTATGAGCCTGGAGGGATCTGCCTCCTCTCCCTCTCCCACACATGCCCACCACCGAGCCTTCAGCTTTTCCCTGCCTCGACCAGGGAGGCGAGGCTCCAGGCCCCCAGGTAAGAGGGAGTCTCTTCCCAACTGGAGTGAGGGAGATGGGGCCACAATGGCAGCCTATTAACTTATTCAGGATGCAAGCTGATCTAGAGTGTGTGATTCTTTTCTGTTGATGGAACCGCATAGAGGAATCAGAGCGGTGAGCAGGTGGCCAGGGAGCTCTTGACCTTTCTGAGGCAGGGAGGAGAGACCTTGATTTATAAAGAAGGGTGAAAGTGAAAGAATTCAGAATTCCAGACACACTCCTATTTTGTTAGAGGGACTGGCAAAGGATTGGAGGAGTTATGTGAGCCATTTGCCTGCATTTCTCTTTTTGGCTGTTCTGAGAAAAATCCCTTGCCCTGCTGAAGTCCTGGCAGCCCTCTTAGAGTCTCTGGTGATTTTAAATCTGTTTGCTGAATGACAATTCACTGGATGATTATTTTCCTGAGAACGGTCTGAAGAACTACATTACGCTGGGGTCTGAGGCAGTTGACTACAACTGTTGGGGTTGGCATAAGTCCTCAGAAATAGAAAAGATAAAGCCATTTGCATTGAGTCTTCCAGAAGTGCTGGGGTCTAAAATGTGAAATATACAGAGCATTGACATTTAAACAAACTGCACTGACAAATCTGTGGCTGCCAAAAAAGCTGGGGCAAAATGAAGAGCCTCAAAACGTAGGTCATTTGGTCATTCAGGGAACTAGGTTTTGTTGGATGGGTCAGCTTTTGGGGTGGGGATGGGGCAGGCCCTCCCTCAAGAAGGAAGGGCTGCTGGGGTGATAGACACCCAGGAGTGTGTTCTCACAGAGATCCGGGAAGAGGAGGTGCAGACGGTGGAGGATGGAGTGTTTGACATCCACTTGTAACAGATGGTGATGGTGAGTCCTTTTGTCTGGATGCTGGGACCCTCCATGAAGGTGGAGTGGGGGAATGATAGGGAAATGGGTGCTCTATTTAGATGGCTGGGCAGGTGGACTCCTAGCTTGTTCATGGTGTTATCCTCAAAACCTCTATTTTTCTCTTCCTAGTGTCAATGGATGATGGAGTCATTCCTGCTTTGGAGAAAAGACTCGGACTCAAGCAGGCAGCCTGGGGCTTGGGGCGGGAAGTTGGGGCTAGAGGTGGTGTGTGAGGGTGGCATGCACTGAGGGCAGGGCTAGGGCTGGTGTCCCCAAGGTTGTACAGATTCTTGTGAATATTTGTATTTTCCAGATGGAATAAAAAGGCCCATGTCATTAATCTGGACTAACAGAGCCTAGAATCCGGGTTGAGGTGGGGGTGCTGTATTTATGGGACTGATCTTTGGTGTAGCATTTTTAGCCAGAGAGATTTGGGAAGTCTGGAATCTTGAGGGATAGAATTTTAGAACTAGAAAACTTCCAAGCATAGGGATTTTTGAAGGCTAAAATCTTGGAGATGTAATCTGTGATACTAGTATATCTTTGCACCCTGGAGTTGTTGGACTCAGTGGTCATATATAGCCAGAGTCTTTAGCACATGGTCAAAATTCCCTTGCTTTTTTTTTTTTTTTTTTAAGAGTCTTGGTTCTTTTATTTTTATTTATTTATTTTTTCTCCAAATGCCTTCAGGGCAGGTTTGGCTGGCTTGAGTTGTGGGGATCGAACCACAACCTGAGCCTGACTGCTTTGCCGAAGCAGCCACTTAAAGAACTGAGCTACAGGGCAGGCCCCCTATAAGGATTTTTTTTCCTTATTTTTATTTTTTGGCGGGACCAGGGATTGAACTCAGGTCCTTGCACTTGCCAGGGAAGCGCTTATCCCACTGAGCCATCTCCCCGGCCCAAAATTCCCTTGCTTTGAGCTGCAAGGCCCTAGGCCCTCTCCACCCATCCCTTCCCCCACAGTTACCCCCTCCCCCCAGTGGCTCTGTTCCTTAGGATTCCTACCATGGAGGCATGACAGTGCATATCTGTAATCCCAGTATGCAGGAGGCTGAGGCAGGAGGATCACAAGTTTGAGGCTTGTCTGGACTACATAGTGACATCCTAAAAAAAAAAAAAAAAAAAAATCCTTGCTTGACAGGTGGCCTTTCAGCCCCTGCTTGAACACTTCCAGTGACCCTTGTGCACTGGTAGGAATCCTGGGAGGAAGAAAGCCGCTGGTGGGGGTGGAGGAGGTGACTGGGGGGGGGGGGGGAAGGGATGGGTGGAGAGGGCCTTGGGCCTTGCAGGCCTCCCTACAGTGGGAGTGGCACTTCTCGGTCATGTAGCCTCCTGGCCTGGTGCTGCTGCAAGCCGGAAGGACAGTGACTTCCAGAGGAAATGCATATTGATCCTGCACTCAGTCTCCGGAGGTCTCTTCCAACCCAGCTTTCTCTTCCCTCCTGAGCTTGCAGAACAGAGGTTTTTGGGGTCACCATTACCTGAATTAGGCTAAGGCCATGTCTAAGGCTGATCTCAGTGGGGAGGGCGGCCTGGGAGTTTCTTAAAGGTTCTGGAACTGGGCCAGGCTGTCCCCAGGATCAGGAGAGTCCAGATATCAACCAGATATTAGCTCCTCCAACTGAGGGTGTCTTGGGGTAGACATATGAGTCCCCCAACTCCTGCCTGCAATGCACAATACCTATGGATCTGGCAGAGCCTCAGCTTTCCCATGAATGTGCCTTTCCTAGGTATCCCCATTTCTGGTCCATCTCATTCCCTTCTGGATTATTCCTTATTTTGGGTCACCCTCTTCTCCTCTGTCACATCTCAGCTTCAGCCCTGTCTCTCATTGGGTCCCCTGCTCTGCCCCTCCTGTACTCAGCCCCCTCCCATCCTTCCCCCTCTTGAGGCTGTAATATCCGTTTCACGATTTGGGGGCTGAGTTGCTATAACAACAGACTGGCGATTGTGTTGTGAAGAGCAGCTCGCTCCTGAGCCGCTGCCTCCCGCACTGCCTCCATCCCTGCAGCCTGGTCTGCTCCCCTTCCCACCCTCAGCCCTGCTTGGCCCCTTCCCAGTGTGTATGTGTGCTTGTGTGTGTATGTATCTGTGTGTGCAGGTAGGCCCTGCCTGGCACATGACGTGTGCCTTTCTTTTCATACTTGCATGTGTCAGAATTCAGTGTCTGAGCTTCACATTGTGTGTGTACCTGCACATGTGTGTGCATACCTTTGTACATATGTGTATGTAAGGATGTGCACACTGTATTTGCTCCTCTTTTCTCCTTGTGTGTCCCCCCTCTGTGCATACAGGAGAGAGGCGTGTACTCAGCATATCACTTGGGGTGGCTACCTGTGTGTTCATAGTGTATACCTTGACGTGGAGGGCCCCAGCTGCATGGAGGTCTTTCCCTGTGATGAGGGATGGGCAGAGAGGTGCAGTAGGTCCTAGGTGACCTTTCTTGCCCTTGATGGGCAAAGCTTGGAGTGGGGACAGGAAACAAGTGCTCACCCTGACCTCCCTCCCTGCCCAGGTTCATTGTAAGTTCTGTCTTTGAGTCACTGCACCTGTCTGTCTCTTCTTGTGCCCTGGTGCTTGCTGCACAGAACTAGTGTATGCATGTATGTATGTGTATGTGTGCATGAGTGTCAGGAAGCTGCAGGAAGAGGAACAGTGGAGGTGGGTGGGCAGTGGGCTGTGGGGTCAGACAGGAGCTTTCATATCCACAGACCCTGACTCAGCAGTTCTCATTCTATGGTTCCTCCAGTGGCCTTGGTGAGCATAGCTTGATAGTCTTTCCAAGGTCAGAGTAGACCCCAAGTCTGGGAGCTCATCAGAGATCCCCCTTTTTATTCTCTAAGAAATACCCTTGCAATCTGGGATGTTTTCTTTTTGACCCTCAGCTGGAGAAGGAGGTCCTCTCTGGACAGGGGCATCTCTATTCACCAGCTCAGTATGTAATTGATCATTTTATAAAGTACCTCAGGTGCAGGATGGCCTGTGGGCAGGTCTCCTGTGTGCACTGTTTCCCTGGGCATGAGGTTGCCCTTGATTGTACAGATACAACGTGTGCACAAGTGAGTTTTACCATGGTGGAACATTTCTGCAGGTGTCCCTTTGTATCTTTTTGGAATGCCTTGGGTACTTGGATAGGTGTGCATGGCTGTGAGTATGCGCCCATGTGCATACAAATGCACCAGTGGTTGTGCTCCTGCATATTTCCTCTGGCTAAAGAAATACCAACTACCCCTGGCTGTGCAGATCACCGATCCTGCAACAGAAATTAGGATCTTGGAGTGAACTGGCAAAATAGTCTAGTATATGCACACCTACACACCCACACAAAAAAACACTGCCTCATTCAGAAGTCCAATGTTCAATTTACTTAGTGGTATATGCCCTAGGTAGCTGTTAGGTCCAGCTTGCATCCATTACCTGAAGAGGTGTTCCCTTCCCACACTCAGATCCAGGCATGCTGCCACGGATGTCCCTACAGAGAAGACCTGCAACTTAGAACCACCCTTTAAGCTCGTAGGAGGAGCAGAAAATAGGGGTTCCTCAGCGACCAGGCATATATAGCCAATTCAGGCTTCCAGACAGGACAGTCTGACCCCAAACTCTGGGACTGTCTTGAGGCAGGGCTGGGTAACCTCAAGTGCCTAAGCTTACCCCTTCTCCACTTGTGCTTTTCTCTTCAATGTTTTGTCCTGAGGCCAGCAAAGGCCCACCCTCCTCAGTTCTGGGGACCCCCAACCAGGAGGCCCCAGGGTAGTGTGAGAGAGGAAACTGGCTGGGTAGAGAGAGCCCCCTGCAGCCAGGGTCTCCTTACTGGAGTTTCCGCAGCCCGAGCCTGCCCCTGGATGCAGCCAGCAGAGGGCGCTGCGGACCAAGCCCTGCATGGGTGCCCCAAGTTGGGTTCAAGGCTCTCCTTTGGCTAGTCCAGCCTTGGGCGCTGCCTCAACACGTACCCGCGGGCCAGGAAAGGGGTGGGGTGCCGCACGTGAGGGCTCGACCCAATGGGTAAAAGGCTAGGGCACCTGGGTTCCCGAAAGACAAGTTGAGCTGGGGGTCTACTTGGCGGGGACTGTGGCGTCCGGAATAAGAAGCTTGCGAAGCTTGACAGGTTCTGATGCCCAGAGGCCGGGATGCCGGGGTCCCGCACGGGGGAGGGAAGGAGGGGCTTGGGGAGCTGGGAATCGGCGGCCTCTGCGCCTTCCCATTGGCTGCAGTGGTCGTCCGTTAGCGCGGCGCGACCCAATGCGTGCGACCGAGGGGCGGGTCCGGCGCGGCTGCTGCCGTCAGTCGGTGTTGCAGGGATGCGGCGGCGGGAGCAGCCGGCCTGACTCGCGAGCGTCTTCTTCGGAGCAGCGCCGCGGCGGGGCGGGCGGGGACGCGGCGGGGAACCGGAGAGGCGCGAGGCGGCCGACGCCGCTGGCCCCAGCTCTGTCATCCGCCGCAGACGGGGCGGCCTCTGAGGTGGGATCCCCACCCTCCAGCTCCTGGAGCTCCCAGAAAAGGTACGGAGGGGAGGGGGGGCTGCGGCGGAGCCGGGTGGGGGGCGGGAGCCGATCGGGGGAGGGGAGCGATCGGACAGGGGGAGACAGGAAGGTGGGATTAGGGGTCGGGGGCGCCGAGCTGAGAAGTGACAGAGAGGAGACGAAGCCGTGGTGGAGGGTTTGAGGGTCGGAAGCGCCTGTGGAGGGGGCATTGGTCTTGGGCTGGGGCGAAAGGAGGGAGCTGGAGGGTGGGTCTTTGGGGGAAGGGATGGAGAGAACATGGGAACCCCGAGGGCTGTGAGAGGGGTGCTGAGGGGGCTCCGCGGTCTGTGCTCGCCCCAGCAGCCGAGAGCAATGCTGGGCCGGAGGGGCTGTGAGCTCCTGTGCTCTGAAGGGTCTGCAGGGGAGAGACCGACGAGGAACTGGGCTTCGTGGGAGGAGACGGAGAGGGGGCTAGACTGAAGTGGAAAGGGAAGGAGCAGGGGCCAGGCCGAGGGCTGAGGACCGGGCTCCACTGGGGGATGGGAGCCAAGGGGAGAGGAGGTTATTGGGAGGGGGCAGAGGGGAGGGTGCCAAGGTGCGGGAGGCAGAGAGGTCTCAGCTGGGGAGAGCTGGACAGGATAGGGGGCTGAGGGAAAGGAGCGGAAGCTTGCGGGGGAAGGCTGGGGGCGAAGAGGGGAGACTGGGAAAGCAGTAGGAGGGGGCTCTGCTGGGGTGGGAATGCGCTGGGGGCGGCGACAGGGTTCTGGCCAGAGTGCTGCAGGGGGAGAGGAAGCTGCAAGGCCTAGGCTGCTCCCCCACCCCTAAAGAGGAGGGGATCATTTCTCATGTCCCAGCCTCCCCCAGCGAGCGGTGGGAGCAGTGTG